AATTTTTGGTATGGTGGCAGCCGACACTTCTCTACCGACACCGTCGGCCGAGTGGTGCACTCGTCGACGTGTGGTGTATTTGGCCGACTGTACCCCAAAATTTCTGGCAGAAATTAGTTCACACAGAAAATGCGCCTTCTCAGTTATAAACGTTCTCTGGTATCAGTAGAGCAAAAACAACATTTGCGTGTATTTTGTTGTTGCTTCTGGTATCGAAAGTGTCAACAACTGTTCTGAATTTTTTCTTCTAAATCAAAGCTTGCCATGTGAAATACAAAAAATTATAAAAAATAAAAAATTGAAATTGGAAAAAATAAAAATTGATGCAACTTTCCTAGTAAATTTGTTTGCTTCTCGAAGCATTGATCCATCCTTTGCAAGGCCCTGTAATCAGCGGTCGTACTGCCGAGTTGGGCGAACGTTCCAAAAGCTGCTATTCAATCGCTTGTTTTGTATGGAAAAAGGTTTCACAAGCAAATGGATTTTAACAACTTATAATTTTCGTGAGAAAAAATTAAAAATATTTGACATTTTCGAGACCAAATAATTTGAAAATAAATCAAATCAGCTGCTCTACTGATACTACCTGTTCAATGTACCTTGCATACAAGTGACAAATGTTCTTCTGCCCGAACTTAAACTTTCTTACTTGTTTTTATATATATTGAGTGTAACCCTCTAGCACATAGAATCAGATGATCTCAGCTGTGAGGCATTTCGGGAAAACATCTGATTCTTTCTTCACTTGTAAGTGTGCTCAATGGTTTCAAGTACGTCTATTACCTTGTTTATACCGACACATAAAGCGCTTTCGCCGCTCAGAAATTCAAAAGTGTATTGACTCGAATTTGTTTTGAAATCGGTTTTTTAATTCCCACATCGGTTAAAAAACAAGTTTAAATGCATCATTCATTTGACGCAAAGTGAAAAAAGGCTGGCTTTCTTTATACATCACCTTTTAAATTTGAGTTATTATTTTAATAGATTCGAATTATTGTTCGCTTCCATTTCGATCAACCGCGCAAATTAGTTATTAAAGAAATGTCGTATAAAAACAGCA